CTGGAAAAACTGTGGTAAGATCATATATGACTCTCTCACATGAAGCACGTTATAAAGTATATTTTAAGGGTGTTCAGCCTCTTTCTGCTGCTGTGAGTTCAACTGACTGAGCTGTAACACATGAGCTGCACTTTACAAATGATCACTTACTGATAACTCACAAATTATTATTATTCCATTACTGATTACAAATTACATGATGAAAATTGTAGTTAGCAACATAATCTATTGAATTATACATATTAGGTAGCATAATCTGACTATTCTATATCAGTTTTGACCTGACTTGTTCATCACTGTTACGGCTGCTCGTAACTAAATTATATAGCTTGTTCAATATTTTAAACAAACACTGGTTATAAACCAAACATAAGAGAAAAGTTGGCGCCAACTTTTCTTTTTTCTTATTGTTTACAATAGTTGAGCACCCTCATTGAGTTTTTTTTTTTCACACATTTTTTAAAAACTTTTTATAAACCAAACATATAGATAAATCACAAGATACTTGATGCTTTTTAAGATTTCCAGTTACACCTTCCTTTAATCCATAAAGAATACAACTTAATCAAACATTCAACAAATAATACAAATTAATTCATAAAAGGTATTTAACAAAATATTAACAAAAACAGTAAACTGGTAGGGCAGCTTAGGAAAACAGGAACTACACCTGATCTGCTGGACAGATCTTACCTCACTCTGGAGAAAATAAAAAGATGAGTCTTGCGTGTGCTAACAGATCAGATACATTCTCACAAATCTCTCTCCATGAGAGTAGGAAAGGGAAAGACTGCCTCAGTGGTACACACACACACACCAAACTAAGGCAGCTAATTATTCATTTGGTGCATTTGAGAAGACCTGGCTCCTCCCATGACTGGCTACGTCATGTGACCTAGTGAGAATTCTCAACGGTTACTAATTCTAACTGCCATTGTACAGAAAGAAAGCAAAGAACATTTACATTATCAAAGAACATTTTCGAGCACTCTCAAAAACTCTCATTATAATCACTGAAGCTGTTTTCTTTTGGAAGCTGCATTCAAAATCCACTTGGCTCAAAAATCGGTTTGAATGGGCATCATCTGTATTTTCAGAATCAGAATCAGAATTAGCTTTATTGCCAGGTATGTTTACACATACGAGGAATTTGTTTTCGTGACAGAAGCTTCCACAGTGTAACAGAATGACAGTGACAGAAAAAAAAACAGATAATTAAAAAAAATAAAATAGAACAAGTAAATAAGGAATAAAAATATACAAATTGACAATTGTACGTGCAGGTATATTACAATAGACAGTTTTGCATGTACAGGTACTGTATATTATGTGCAAATTTGAGGTGTAGACTGAGTATGTGTGTTAGATAAATAAGTGTATGAGTGAATAAATAGTGTGTGTTCCACAGTTATTGTTAAGTGATCATGAGATTAATTGCCTGAGGGAAGAAACTGTTCCTGTGTCTGGCCGTTCTGGTGCTCAGAGCTCTGTAGCGTCGACCAGATGGCAACAGTTCAAAGAGGGAGTGTGCTGGATGTGAGGGGTCCAGAGTGATTCTGCCAGCCCTTTTGCTCACTCTGGATAAGTACAGTTCTTGGAGAGAAGGGAGGGTTGTACCAATGATTCGCTCAGCAGTCCGGACTACCCTCTGTAGTCTTCTGAGGTCAGATTTGGTAGCTGAGCTGAACCAGACAGTTATTGAAGTGCAGAGGATGGATTCAATGATGGCGGAGTAGAACTGTTTCAGCAGCTCCTGTGGCAGGTTGAACTTCCTCAGCTGGCGAAGGAAGTACAACCTCTGCTGGGCCTTTTTAACAATAGAGTCTATGTGAGTGTCCCACTTCAGGTCCTGAGAGATTGTGGTGCCCAGGAATCTGAATGTCTCCACTGCAGCCACAGTGCTGTCCATGATGGTGAGCGGGGGGAGTGCAGGGGGGTTCCTCCTGAAGTCCACGGTCATCTCTACAGTTTTGAGCGTGTTGAGCTCCAGGTTGTTGAGACTAAAAATATAACCGTGTATTTTATAATTGTATATTTTCACACAGACAATAGCCGTTTCTCAATATGCGTTCTTGTCTGTTCTTGTGGACTTGTGAAACGTCATTGCCCAAATACCCATGTAATTTTCTAAATCTGTTATTGTGTCTGAAATGTAGTTTTAAGAGTTTTTCAGGCGAGAATGTAATTGTTTAAAACTCAAATCTGTGGTTTATTTATAAAGATAGCACCTATTTTAAAATTTGCTATGCCAATTTCGGAGCTTCAGGTGATCACCGGGCGCTCAGTGCTCATGTATCAATGATCTCGGTGCATGTGTAGGCAGTAGTTCTTTCTTTGTACAGTAAGACCTTGAGTATCTCTATTGAGTCCAATACATTTCTATACTGTTTTAAGCTGCCAGATGAGACCAAACATGACACAATTCTGTGTTTGATCACAAGAGAGATGTAATGGGGAACGTGGCTCCTGTGAAGCAAATGTCCTCCTGTAGGTGTTTATTAGAGGTGCAAGTACAGACAGCTCTGTCCTTATTATCACTATGAAACAATATCTCACATTCAGCTCTGTGTGTCTGTTCAGTCCTGAAGCACATGACAGTTTCAAACATCACCACTGAGCATCAACATGCATATATCTCATTCTATCAGCAGCAGTTTGTGGCAATGCTTGTCATTATATCTCCTCTCCTGCTCTGAGACTTTGCAGAGTCAATAACAAACTGAAGACATTTAAACTACAATTCAAACTGTGTCATTGTTCTCTACAGGTTGAGAGATTGTGGCGTCACAGATGAAGGTTGTGCTGCTCTGGCTTCAGCTCTGAGATCAAACCCCTCACACCTGAGACACCTGGATCTGTCACTGAATGAACTAGGAGATTCTGGAGTGAAGTTACTCTCTGATCTGAAGGACGATCCACATTATAAACTGGAGACATTATACTATCGTGAGTGTTTGTTTATTTAAAGTTTTTATATTGACCCAAGTTCAGTAACAGATCTCCTGTGTGTGTAATTGAAGAAAATAAGATACTTCAGCTCCAATTTAGTGTCTGTAATTTGAAGGGGTGGTTCATTGCAATTTCACTTTTTTAACGTTAGTTTGTGTGTAATGTTGCTGTTTGAGCATGGTGTGGAATAAAGGTAAATTATGTGAAAAATAATGCGTTTTTTAAAAAACGAAGCATTAACACATAGACTGCACCCCATAAACACAATCAAGCCTAGAAAAAAAACAGTCAACCACCCCTTTAAACCGTTTAATTCTGTGATACTGATTTATTAATATATGAATATTTTCATCTCTTACAGTGTCTCTTAAGTGATAGAGTTGTTGAACATTTATTGTTATTAATCTGTGATCAGTTGTTCATTCGTATCACTGGCTGTAATATGAATATACTGTGTTTTTTCTGAACTGGATCTGCTGATGTGATGTGACAGCAGTAATGTCTCATACTCATATGTGACTGTCTGTGTGTTTTATTGAAGGACCCACAGTATTTAGACGTCAGTCCAGTTTCCTCAGGATCAGCTGATGGTGAATAAGGAGCCGCTACAGAGACGTCACAGTCACACAATCAACAGAGACTGAAGACACAGAGACACACAGCATCACACTGTCTCATGTGTGTGACTTTACATCACTTTCTCCTTTTATACTGGCTCATGAAAATGAGTGCTGATCATTAGTGACTGAAACGTGAAGAGAATTAGCTCACCATTGCACCAGTGTATGGTTTATGAGTTTTCTTCAAGACATCTCAGGTATTTTTCATAAGGATAATGTATAGTTATAATGCAGTGCTAATCGACATAGCCTTTATCACTGTATTGAATAATATATTTTTATATACATATATATATGTACTGTAAATAATATATTTTCTGCTTCATTCTGTGATTAGAAGCCACATCAGTTCACAGAAGGAAGTTATTTCAAACACTCAATTGACACTATAATGCGAGTTTGCAGTAAAATGTTATCATTCTCATATGTTGTACTGATCGAATATCTCATGCACACTGATCAATTTTTGAAGGCAGTATAGATGTATGCTTTGCTGCCTGTAATATTTCAGTCATGTGCACAGTCTTAATTTTACTTTCATAAAATCTGCAGAAACCCTGTATATAATTCAACATTATTTAGTAGAGAAATTGAGAATGAATGAATTTCATTTGTACAAATGTAGATACTGTAAACATGTAAATAAATGACTTTTGATGCACTGTGCCAATGTAAATATGTATAGTACACAGCATAAATGAGTACATCCCCTCTGCACATAAGGATGTAGTATTTACATTTCTGATCACAATTACAGTTTTATGAGAATAACAAATGTATGTATATGATGATAAAATTAAATAATGATTTTGTGGGCTCTTACAGCCCTCCCTATTATGATTAGTCACCATTCAGTTCCTTTATTTTCAGTCACACTGAGAATGTGTATGAGTGGAGAAATATATGTAGCCGCCTCCTTTTTCTATAACTTGTATATCTAGCCTTATTCCTGTTTTCTTTGTTCAAGGTTACATTATATTGGGTGGAGTCAGCAATAGCGGGACACTTTTTTTTGGTAATAAATACAAATAAATCCATACCAACACTATTTAAACAAATTTTCACTCGCCTCTTTAGGTAAATTGGGACACATTTTTATCTAGTTTGTGCTTTGATCATACAATTTAGTACAACAGGACATTGTACTAATACTTTTTTAATTGAACAATTTCAGAATTTAAAAGAAAATAGACATACCAGTGGATTGAGCTATAAATTGCTAACCCAAACAATTCATGTTTATTGAATTAAAACACTTAGAAGCATAAATGTAAAGAATTTTTAAAGCACTCCAGCTGAAAGACAAAAACAAAGAATTTAATCAATTCAACAGAAGTACAATGTATTATGTGTAGTATAAAAATGTGTGTGTGTGTGTGTCTGTGTGTGTGTGTGTGTGTCTGTGTCTGTTGCCGTGGTAATTGTTTTTTTTTCATGTCGATATGATGTTTGTCAGATGTCAGCGATGTCTCAGAGAACAGATTCAGTGTTTGTCTCGTCTCTCGGTAAAGGAGACACTTTACATCAGCAAGGTTTGAACTTCTTTCAGTTTTGCTCTTCTTTGTTTCAAGCTGTGTACTTTTATGAAAACAATATTAATGTATTTAACATCTTTCACCCTCAGTGGATGCTTCTGCATAATGATGATTGTGTGATTAATATAAACGAGTCCCTCTCTGTGTCTTCAGTTTTAGCAGCTTTTCCTTTGTGTGGGATCTCAGAGGAGGATTTGATCCAGAACCCACAGTTCTGTAAGTTACTGGCGACTCTGTCGCAGCATGTGGACCGAGCCGGACTCACACAGCACCTCAGGAGGGACCGAGAGAAGGTCCGAGCCCTCACACTGATGCACACTTCACAACCACAAGCTGTAGAGTGTGTGCTCGCAACACCAGGGTCATGGGTTCGATTCCTGCTGATAAAATACAATGTTTACCTTAAATGCAGTGTAACTTACTTTGGATAAAAGCATCTGATCTGCCATATGCATTCATGTAAAAGTAAAAAGTACATGAATATATGAGGGAAAGTGAATAGTTTAGAGTCTATTTAGCCTCTTCAATGATTATGCACTCATAAAAAGTGCGTATTATGTTATAGCCCATCATTCATAAAATATCCACAACCTCCTTTGTGTATTTATTAAATATTATATATTTTGACAATGCTTTCAGCTACCAGCATACCATAGTCTTCAAAGTCTTCGTAGTCTCTGTTTAACACATTTTGTCGTATTTAAATACATTATGCAGATTTTTTACCACAATAAGTGCTAAAATGTGTAAGTTTGTGTAGATTACATCTGGAAGAAGGAATTGTGAATTAAACAGCTGGTGAGACGCAGTGTTATTTTAGTAGTATTTCTATACTATTATAGTGTATTTTAAATGTTTTAAATTAGATTTTTATATAATTTCATTTTTTATTTATTAATATTTTAGTTTATTTTTTAGTCATTTTGCTGTTTTTAATTTTTTCATTTAATTTTTACATGTAGATCTAATTATTTAATTTTTTTTATTTGACTAATATATTTTTATTAGTTCACTTCGGTTCAGCTAATTCAGTTTTAGTTTTCATTTATTTCCAGCTAGTAATTATAGTGCTTTAACTTAAACTTATTCAGTTAGTTGTGAATTTCTAATTGTCATTTAATGTAATTTCTCATCTAATATTTATGTTATTGTGTTGCAGCTTCAGTGTAATGAAGAGAATGGTTCTAATAGTTGAGGGTAATAGCTCTGGTGTGTGTGTTCTGCAGGCCGAGCGTGAGCTGCACGCTCAGAGGTTGTGTTGGCTGCATGTGGAGAGCGATCTTCGGGTTCTGCGAGAAATCGTCCAGGAGAACCGCTTCAGTAAAGCCTCCAGCGCTCAGACAGCGGAGGACAAGGTACGACATGAACCTCAGCGACTGCTGTTGTGTGTTTGAATGAGTGTAGAGCAGACGTCACGCTCTTATTTCAGCAGAAACATGAGTTATTATAGCGGCACAACAGACGAAACAAGTTACTGAGAGAACATTTAGATCTTATGACAGTGTGAGTGAGGCCAGACTCATTTGTTAGGACGTCCCATTCTCACGTAACAGTGAACAGATCATGCAATCCAGCAGTCCTATCCTAACAAACCATACATCAATGGAAAGCTTATTTATTCAGCTTCAGATGATGCATAAATCTCAATTTAAAAAAATTGACCCTTATGACTGGTTTTGTGCTCCAGGGTCACAAATGAGCGTGATGTTTTGTTTGTGAATGGTGTGAGTGCTCCAGAAGACTGTAAGCAGCACGTGTGACACTGTTTTCAGTTCTGCAGCACGCTGGAGCAGTGTTTGATGGTGGCTCAGTGTGTGAAACAGATGGACGTCAGCTCTTATAGCAGTGAAGATCACAGCGGCGTTCTGGGACTGACTGCAGAAAGAGTCCAGAGACAAATGCCTCCTGAACAGGTGCTGCGTTCTTCACATCACTGCTGCTCATCAAATCACAGGCTCTCTGAGTATTATTTACACACCGCTATAATTTATATAAGTGTTTTGAATTAGCTTTTATTTTTAGACTTTCAGTTTATGTTTTAAGTAATGGTATTATTATTATTGAACCCAGAACTGTGCTTTAATGGTCTGCTGATGCAGTGAATGATATTTAAAGCTGATCTTGATGTTTGTCCTTCAGGAGCTGCTAGAGATGAAGCAGAGGTTGCCATCAGAACTCCTGCAGCATCTGAAGAAGAAGGCCGTCAGTATCCTGACATACTATCAGCCGGAGTGGGGTAAAGCTGAGCCATGGTTTGTTTAATGATGGGAGGTTTTCAGAGTTTTGATTTGATCTGTTCTCTCAGAGAATGAAAGCGAGGGTCTCAGGAGTGTGAAGCTTTCCAAACTTCCCGAACTGTTGGACGCTGAACAAAAGAGAGCCAAGAGCCTTACAGAGAAGAACCGAGAGAACAAGACGTTACTGCAGCGGCAAACACACGCGCAGCTGTCTGTGAGTCCAGAGAAACCACACTCATGTCTGCAAGTCACCTGACAAACTCTGTTCAGATCTGTTAGTAACGTAGGCTGTGTCTGTCGAAATACAGAAGAAACAGAAGTGTGCAATTAATCACATTTCTAATCGTGATTACAATTATGGATGCCACAATCATTCAAAGACGTAATTACAAAAAGAAAGTACACTTACATTATTCTGCATCCTTAAGATGTGTGTGTGTCTGTCTGTTTCTGTGTGTGTGTGTGTGTGTGTCTGTCTGTCTGTCTGTCTGTCTCTGTGTGTGTGTGTGTATTTCTTTATGCAGGTTATCTTAAGGGTTTTTCCATTGTTTTAATTTGAGTCTTAGTATAACATTATAATACCATGCATGTTTTTACTTTTTTATATATTTATTTAAAGAAGAAACCAAACTAATGTGTAGTTGACATTTGAGGCTCAATTCTATAGAAAAGTAATACAAGTTTTTCAGTTTGAGTGTTTTCAGTTTGTTTATTTTCATATAAAAATGTCATGCAGTTGCTTCCGACACTTTCATAAAGCTAACATCATTCATTGTAAATTGTGATAATCACAATTTAAAGGGAATAATCGACAATTATGATTGGTCATAATCGTGCAGCCCTAATATAAAGCATGCATCAAATTAATAATTTTCAGATGATAGAACTGTAATCATACATCACACTTTTACAACTCTTAAATAGACATAAAAGCAAAAGAATAGTTAGTTGTTAAAGTTAAAGTTGATTTTGACTTAAAATAATTAGAGTAGTATGTAACGGATGATGTTTTGAGGGTTTTATCTAGGGTTATTATAGTTAACTAAAACCATAAAAACATTTGTTACAACAAAATGAAATGTTACAAAATTTACTTTATTTCAGCTAGTTGCTAAGGCAACATTTCTCTTTTATTTAACTTGAAGTACTAAGACGACTACGACGAAATAAACCAAAAATAATCAATTAACATTATTTTCATTAAAAAAACACAACAAAATTACTAAAACTTTAACTAAAATATGTAACTAAAATGAAATCTAATTCAGAATATTAACTAGAACTGTAATAGTATCAATATTACTGAACTAAGACTGGTTTTCTGAAGGTGGATGATCATTAAACATGAGAAGTGTGTGATAACGATGTGTTTGCTTGATTAGGAGCTGCTGAAGTGCATGAACATCCTTCAGCGTCTCGTCCTGGATCTCCGGCTCAAGGCTCAGAAAGATCTGGACCGGAAGAAGATCGAGTACTTCCAGGCCAAATGTGAGACTGGTTTGCAGAAGATCAGGTACGATCAGTGCTTGTGCTCTTGAATGTGATATTGAGGGCATCTGCATATTCATAAGGATGAGTTTGTTCCTGCAGAGCCGAGATGCTGGAAGTTCAGCTGGACACGTACACAAGAGACAAGATAGCGGCTCATAAGAAGATAACGTGAGTGACGCCTGCCAGCATTCGTCTTTGCAGTACTATTAAAAAGTTTGCAGGACTGATGGCATACATGCCTGGTAATAATACCATAGTAACATTGTTTTTGTTTTATTGAAGTAATTATGCCTGCCTTGGTTATTGTATGTATTTTCCCTCTGGAATGAAGAAAAAAAAAACTTGATGTACTAAAATAACTGAAACTGAAATAAAAATGAATAAAAACTATATAGACGCATAAAAAACAAAAACTAATGAAATTACCAAAACGCGTAACAAAATTACTAAAAGTAAAAACAGAAATTATAAAAATAAAAACTGATTCAAAATAAGCAGCTGAGTCCTTAGCCATCTTCCAGAATCGGCTAAAAACACACCTCGTCCATCTTTATTTGAGCCTCTAACTCTAGCACTCTATTTTAATTCTATGCTTTATAAAAAAACTAAAAAAAAAACTTGCCCCTTTTAGACTCGCACTCTATTTATTTACTAACTTTGTTTTCTTTAATACAAAAAACTAACTAACACTTGCTTCTCTAATCTTTATATTGTCCTCATTTGTAAGTCGCTTTGGATAAAAGCGTCTGCTAAATGACTAAATGTTAATGTAAATATTAATAACTATAATAGTATCTCATTAATACTAAAATAGCACTGAAATGAGTTTAAGTTGAAACACTCAAATTACTAACTGAAAATAAATAGAAACTACAACTGAAGTTAAAATAAATTAAGCCTAATCAATATAATAAAAAATTACTGATAAAAATGACAAAAGCACATAACAAAACTACTAAAATGTAAAATATTTTTAAAAAGAAAATATAAAAATAAAAGCTAATTCAGAATATTAATAAAAACTAATAGTATATATAAAATAGTATTAATATAACATTTCTGTCTGTTAGGAAGGAATTATGGAAATCCTACACGGTATACTTTAATGCTCATTCCTGCTCATATTTTGCAGTATTCATCAGTGCACTATTATTAACGTTTCATTTGTGACCCTGGAGCACAAAACCAGTCATAAGGGTCAATTTTTCAAAATTGAGATTTATACATCATCTGAAGCTGAATAAATAATCTTTCCATTGATGTATGGTTTGTTAGGATAGGACAATACTTGAAAATCTGGAATCTGAGGGTGCAAAAAAATCTAAATATTGAGAAAATCATCTTTAAAGTTGTTCAAATGAAGTTCTTAGCAATGCATATTACTAATCAAAAATTAAGTTTTGATATATTTACGGTAGGAAATTTACAAAATATCTTAATGGAACATGATCTTTACTTAATATCCTAATGATTTTTGGCATAAAAGAAAAATGTATAATTTTGACCCATACAATGTATTGTTGGCTATTGCTACAAATATACCCCAGCGACTTAAGACTGCTTTTGTGCGTCAGCTCTGCATACAAACACAGTTTGAGCAAACCAGAGCCATCAGTTTCTGTGTGCATCTGTGATTGTCTTCAGGGAGAAGCTAAAAGCAGAGCTGAAGTCCTCCGAGCTGGACAAACAGACGCAGGAGTCTAAGCTGACCTCCTTCCAGATCTACGGCCAGGACTTTGAGGCTCTCGCTGAGGAATATTCCAGACTCCGGCGGGAGATCGCCACGAAATCCTGGGCGCTGAAGGAGTTCTCCGCGTGAATCACACTGAAGCTAGTGATGCTAGTCAGATCTCTCATCAGTTCTGTCCTCTAATTCATCCTGCTTTTGAATTCATTTGTTATTCTTGATCGTTTAATATCATTTGACTAATTAACCAGTCTAAATCAACAAGTCCAGGTGTAGTCAAAATTGACTGTCAACTGCTGTATTAATAAATAAGTCAAATTTGATTTGTTTTCTTGATGTTATTATCATTATTTTACTGATATCTGGCTTCAACATTGTATACATAAATTTGTATTCTGAGCTATTGAGTGACACTTTAGACATTGATGTTTCAAAACATTGCTCCCTAAACATGTGGTTCTATCAGAATTTTCTAGAATTTTGATTTCAATACATTTTTAGAAGAATGAGTATTGTTTATTATTATTCACCTTTTTTTGCTGGTTTGGATTTTCGAATTTTTGAAAATGTGTAAATATATCAAAACTTAATTTTTAATTAGTAATATTCATTGCTAAGAACTTCATTTGGACATATTTTGTACATTTCCTACCGTAAATCTCAACTTAATTTTTGATTAGTAATATGCATTGCTAAGAACTTCATTTGAACAACTTTAAAGATGATTTTCTCAATATTTAGATTTTTTTGCACCCTCAGATTCCAGATTTTCAAATATTGTCCGATCCTAACAAACCATACATCAATGGAAAGATTATTTATTCAGCTTTCAGATGATGTATACATCTCAATCTCGAAAAATTGACCCTTATGACTGGTTTTGTGCTCCAGGGTCACATATGTAAATGAAAACAATAAGGAATTTTAAGACTGTATATTTTTCTAGTTATATTCAGGTCTACAATATTTCATTTGTTTGTCGATCTATTAAATGATTTGTAAAACTGATTATTTGGTTTTCACAAACAGCTGAAAAAGTCATAAATATGTATTGTTCAGAAACTATTCAAAGTAATTTCCTCTCACTATCGACTGTCCTGTCGATTAAAAAAGCACAAACTACAGTTTATTTTATTATAGCGACAGCTCAAACAGGGCTTTTATTGTGTCTTCTCACATTATACATGTTTTCTTTCAATTATTTGGTCATCTTTATTTTAGTTCTACCCAGTGTTTTCCTGAGAGAGTCAGAAAGCATGTAAAAAAAGTTAAAAGCATTAAATTGTTTACAAAAATGTACAGGCTTTTCAAACAATGTTTTTTGGTATTGCTGAACTGCAAAATTAAAAACAAAGGCTTATTTCCCCATTCTTACATTTATACTAAATTTAGATCATAAAAGTAGCCTATTAAATAATATTCCCTGTCATAAATGACATATCATAAGTGGATAAAATGAGACAAAGCATGTAAAATATAGCAATGTCACAATTAAATCTTAATTCGTTACATTTTGTTTGTGGTTAAATATTTATAATGGAGTTTCCGAATTTTATTCGTCAACACAGCAGCAGCCATTGCAAAAACACTCTAAAATCAGCAGCTTTTGATTTAGTACAGTTAAAGCTGAAGCTTGAATCATACATTTTTATCTGATCTAAATGTCTAGATCAGTGCTTCCCAAACCTGTCCTGGAGGACCCCCGAATCAGGTGTGTTAGATAAGGGAGACATACAAAAGGTGCAGGGCAAGGGGGCCTCCAGGACAGGTTTGGGAAGCACTGGTCTAGATATCAAATTCTGAGACGCAGAAGTCAGTCGTGATGTAATATGTGGCGTATGTGCGTCTGGCCGCTAGAGGGCGCTGTGTGAGCCGAGCTGCGCATGCGCAATGTGCTTTGTGTACTTTCATGTTGATTCGGCTCTTCTCAGGACGCTCCGCGTTTTAATCCGCAACCATGAGCTTTTATTTACTGGAGATTTCAATAACACGAGCAGCGTTTTAAATGTAGACAGATTGAGCTTCTTTATTCCGGTCCAATCGGATTATCGACGCTTTGTTCAGTGCGCAGTATGTCTGAATGCATTAATGTGCGTCAAATCATAGCTTTTTTATTTTATAATGTTACGAGGGATACTGTAACTGTCAAGGTGAGAAACATGGTTTTCATTCAGTGACGTCACGCCGGACTCGCTGGGCTGTATTATTATTAAGTTACAGTACATACCGGGGCTAGTTGTCACATGGTTTGTGTCTAAGAGCAGGTTATATATACATGCATATATATATATATATATATGAGAATATTCTCTAAAATATATAGTGTGACAACTAGCCCCGGTGTCCCCTGCACTTTCATGTGTGACAGTATCGGGTCCAGAGAGTAATAATGCTGGTGTTTCATTGCTCTTTCTCCAGAGGGACTCTGTTTATGAGGAGCCATAAACACTCAAAGTGTGCAGCAGCATTTGAAGTCTGTGAATAAGGTGAGACGTGCATTTTTACTTTGAGTCGTTTCTACAGAAGATCCACTAATCTTGTTTTTCTCTTTTGTTGTTCTCAGATCAGCATGACCCTGGCGTTGACCCCTGCAGCCGTGTGCCAGTGCTTCACGCTCGTGTCGCTGTGCACGTCTATCGCAGATCCCAACTGGATCCAGGTCCAGAACTGCTCTGATTCGAGCAGCAAACTCATCTACGGTGTGGCCTTCACACTGCACGCCTATCAGAATCTCACAGACACAGGTGTGATCTTATAGCTCTGTTTATTACTGTGAACACCTGCAGTCCATCTGAGATCAGGATGAGTTTGTTTCTTCGTCAGATTTGGAGAAAAACTACAACGTAACATTAATGTAGACCTACATACCGGTATCTAAATATGATTTCATATATTTTATGCTATATAGACCTACCACGTTACCCTCCACTGGATGTAGAATGAGCAGCATTAAACTACATTTTGGCATTTTACAATACTTATGTGGATATTTTGGATGAAAGTAACTCAAAAGTAACTCAAAAGTAGTGTAATGCATTACAATTCAGAGACAGTAATATTGTAATGTAACTAATTACTTTCAAAAGACAGTAACTAGTAATATATAATGTATTACATTTTGGAAGTAACTTGCCCAACACTGATGGTCACATATATCATCCACACTGATTTATATAACATTGTACTCCTAAAAACATACTGAAAATGTTTTTTTGTTTTTTTTCTGGCTGTTGACAATAGTTTCTGATTTATGGAGTGATAAAAAAAGAGAAATCCAAAATATGACAACAAAATCAAACAAGAATTTAGAATCTGGCTTTTTCCAGTGGGAATGTATGCAAATGAGTGCATATTTAATTGAATAAATAATCGTTTGCATATTTAAATGTACAATTTAAAAAAACTTGTAATACAAAACAATTGTTTTAATGCGCTGTCATTGATTAACTAGCGGAATATGGTGATATCTATTAGCTGAAATATTTTACCATCTTAACCTGTGATGTTTGGCGTTTTGTCAGCTGAACCCATTTGAGCAAAAATATTTACTTAAAATATTTACAGTTCTTTGATGTTGTTTAATGATCATATGACATGCAGCTAAACAAAATATTTAATCTTTTTTAGTGTTTTATTTTGTTTGATTTATTCTTAAATGCAACATTTTAATTTAATATTTTTATGGTACATTTTCATGAATTCACAAACCTCATGCATTAATCAAAGATAACAGTTTTAAACATAGTCACATGAACTCGTTGTGTTGCATCTTTTCCAATTTTGTATAAAAAAATTTTTTTTTTGTGTAGTTAAACATCTTTACCATCTTAACCTGTGGCTTTAAATTCCCAAACATTGTTGCCAGCTGAACCCATTTGAGCGAAAATATTTACTTGAAGTCCCTCTGAGAATCGAAGTTAATGTTTCAATAATTGAGCAACGCTTTTGCACGTTTACAGTTCTTTGATGTTGGTTAAAGGTCACATTGCATGCAGCTAAACAAAATATCTTATTTCTTAAGTGTTTTATTTTGATTGTTTTATTCTTAAATTATTTCTTTATTTAATTTAACATTTTTATGGCACACATCACAACCCTCATGCATTAAACAAAGATAACAGTTTTAAACATTGTCACATGAACTCATGGTGTTCCATCATTTTTGTATAAAAATGTCTTTACTCTTGGTAGTTTGATCAAATAAGTCAGGAAACAGAAATACTGAGAGTCTTTTGATATTGCAAACAGCTCTAGTCTCTGGAATTACAATAATGAAGCAGTGCACAGAGAAGAGCATCATTTCTAGCCGGATGTGAACCTGATGTTTTACTAATGTGTGCTTTCTCACATTTCCCCGCAGCGTTCATCTGCGTGACGGTTGTGGGTGTGTGTGTGGCCTGTATGAGTGTGATTGAGCACAACCTGCAGCGAGGGAAGACAGAAAGCGGCCCTGCGCTCTGCATGTCTGCAGGAGAAAGCTTCTACATCGAGATTTTGGGCCTGCTCTTCTCCTTCATAGCGTGCGCTTTGGCCCTCAAGGGTCATCCTGAACCCATCAGGCCCCGTGAGTACCTGAGCGTGGATGGAGAAGACAGCGACACGGAGCCTTTGATTGGTGGAGCGGAGAGAGAGGAGTGAACAGACAGAGTTATGCACTTCATTTCTAATGGCAGAAGAGCAAGAGCAAAGCTGAACAAGAGCTGCTGTTAGATCAGGTGATCTCGGAGCACGTACAGAACGAATGAAATCCAGAATTTAAGAATCGGCTCCTTCTGGTTCATCAGTGAATTGATCACAGTATACAAGATCCCAACTAACAGGGAACGTTCTTAAAATGTTCTGTCGAGGTTCTCTGAACAAACATTCCTCCAGTTATCTAGTCTTTAATAATGCTCTCAAATCAAACGTTATTTATACATCATTTTCTGAAATGTTTGAGTTGGATGTTTTTTAAATGTTACTAATTGTTTCAGAACATTCCGAGAACATTCAAAAGTAACATTCCCGTAATGTTTGCAAAATTTTAAAATGGAATGTTCTTTTAAATGTTTGAATAACCAAGAAAAAACCATTTTCAAATTTGTAAAAACTGGACGTTTTAAATGTTCGGAAATAACGTTTTCATAACTTAATTGGAACATCAGCCAAATGTACTTTGAATATATTTTTGTTAGCTGGGATGTAGAATTGACAGGAATTATTAATTTAATTACATTACAATTAAAAATAATTCAACAATCACAAAACAGTGAAAACATGTTTTTTTTTAAATGTCATTAATTCAGACTAATTGTGACTAGCCTATTTATTTGCTGATATGTA